TATCAGTGACCTCTCTCAAACCATCTCAGTTGTTTTAATGTGACTGTGTGTCAAATCCGTCCATTTGCTGAGGCTTCTGTGTCACATATAGCATTATTTAAAAAAAATATTAGTTGCAATACATAACCAAACAGAAGCCAGCCGTTTGTTTTAGTGTCAGGTCATCTGTCTCACTCTCTTCAAACCCTGAAGCTATTTCTTCACCGAGCACTGATATATGAGAGCGCTGTTATTGTCAGGAAGGCTGGCATGGATCAACGCATCAGTATCTACCAGTAATAGAGCCCTCCTCACCAGTTTGGTCTGTAGGGAGTCAGGAGCTGCAGAGGTAAGGGATGAAAAAAGAGGAACGCTCCCTATTTGCAATTCACCTTGATAATCAAAGCACTCCGCCTCTCGAGCTACACGAGTGTGTCCACTGTGAGATGCTGAAATTGTACATATACCTGCCAAGCTGTCGAGTCTTGTTTTTGGTCCTCAGCATCTCCCTCTTTCTCCAAGCACAAGCCTTCTGGGGCTCAGCGAGCAGAGGGCAGTGTCAGATTCTGCCTGTTACTGCTGAACAACTGATCGCATCTGTCTTGAAATCCTGCTCCCTCCTCCTTCCCATGAATCCCTCCCCTGTTCAACCCAGCCTCTCTCCCCCACAGCTCCATCAGAGGGTTCTCCATGCCCTCTCTCCATTCCTCAATTACTGCATGGCTTTGAGGTCAGTGCTTTCTTTTCACCTTACAGTTCATCCAGTTCACCCCTGGATAGGTGGTTTTGTTTTGTTTTAAACAAGCCCAACTGATGAAACAATAAAAAATTTAAATCATGTTAAAATAAAACCAAAGACTTGACTGAGTAATAATTCATTTCAGTTTCTCAGTTCATTCTGACTTTTCAATTTTGCTCAGGGATTTTTTTTCTATTTTTTTTTAACCTTAAAAGTGCAACAAGGAAATTGGTTCCACTCTAACAGTCTACTTCCAGAGTCGCACATTTATCATTCAGTGCTCTTCAAAACTGAGAATATATCATTATCTTTCTCTCATTCAGGATCTCCAGTAACATTTTTGACTTGGGAAGCCACCATAGTACTCAGGTACTCATAGCACCACACATTTCAGGGTGGAAAAAGATTATTCCAAGCATCCAACTGTGTTTTCCATATTATATCCTATGCCTTAAACATCCCCTGGAGCCACGGCAAAGCTAAAGCAAACAGCTTTTGGCTGCTTCTATGTTGGCCAATGTAAGGTTGTTAGCAACTCTGCACTGCTTAGCTTTACACAGTTGGAAGAGACCTTGGTTTTATAGGCCAGCACTTCTGCAGACCAAATATTAATAGACATTTCATTGCTGATCATCAATAACCTCTCAATCGCTTCAGGAACAACAAAATCTCTGCTGTCAATAGCCTCCTCCTCTGATGTTCTGCTGAATCCCCTAAATCTTCTGGAGGATTCAAGCCCAGCTGCAAATACTAATTCCTCCCTCCCCTTTATTCAAGGCTTCCCATCCACCTCCTTAAGATATTTTGCTAATTCTTCCTGCATCCTGTCCTTGCACAGCATAGATTTTTGTTGATGTAATATCACCTCCTTTAGCTTTCACAGACATAACCTAAAGCTGCTTTTGTTCCAGGAGAACATGGATTGTTCTTTTGGCTCAGCATCTCATCTTTCTCTTGCTCAGACCTCATCATCTCCTTTTTCTGCAGTATTGATCATGACTACCTTTATTTGTAAGATGCTTGATGCACTTACCCTATCTTTTTTCTCTCCCCTAATTATCGAGGAGACAATTCCCACCTGCAGTTTTCCAACAGTAACAGAACTCACAGAAAATCCATGCAGCTCAAGATAACTCTTGTGGCATTTTTTTGTTATAATAAACAAACCAACAACAGTTTTGATTTCTTTGCTCAGCAACTCCTTGAGTTCAAACAGCAACTGAAAAGATACAAGCAATTTGGCCTCTGTCTCAGGTGAACAGGAGGCTACGAGGAGCTGACAATTTGACAATTTTCAGTGCAAGTCTTAAATAGCTTTCAGAACCTACAGTTGGTGCTTTTTTTTTTCCTCTTCCAATTCAAAGGTTTGTAAAGAGAAATTCACTGTATTCCACAGAGGTGAATGCTTGCATGAAAGGGGCTACAAACATTTCACAAGAGTTGACATGTTGAATATTTATAAATACATTAAGGATACTACACATTAATACAGACAGACATGTGTGCTTAGCATGAATATGGTGTTTAACAGCTCACCAGAACTTTCTAGGACATTAACACACCTCTGCTACGCCACAAAGTTTAATTTTTCAGCCATTCAGGAATGGTAATGATGAAGATAAATCCAGTACATGCCCTGAAATATCTTAGTGCAATCAGACTAAACTTCTTGAAGGTATAGCAAAAACATCCCCAACTATTTGTTGGAAACTCTCAGGAGATGCAGCTTTTACCTTCTACTCCAAACAACTCAGTCCAGCTGGCGTTTATAAGCAGACTGCACAGCTCTTCAGCTAACAAGTTCACGTTGGCTGTGGCAACAGTCATTCAGGCTCCCTCTCTCCTTCACAAACATAAAAAGCAAGCTGAAAAATATTCCTATAACAATAATACAATTCCTGTGATAGCTTACAGCAGTGACAGGCACTTGCAACAGCTAATTCATCTACAGAGCATCATTCAGCCAGACTGGAGTCGAAAGAGTGTTTGTTTTTGAAGTTTGACCAGTTGCCATCCAACCTTCAAAGAGGAAGCACTGTTCTCCTCCCTCCATCCAGCTGCTGTCCTCTGCTGATGACAGCACCTGTTTGAAGTTTTATTTAAAAAGCTCAAGGCAAAATTCTGCACTCAAATCTGCAGAGAGCATCACAACTGATGTCCTGCTGTCTTTGCACACACGGAGCTGGTCTGCTTCTGTTCCAGTGCCCTGGGAGCCACCTCAGCACAGTGAGAGGCTACAGGGAACAGATTCTTTTTACAGATGGAAGAGCATCAGGCACAATGTAACAATGCACCATATAGACAGGAGGTCCAGCACATCACGTGCTCTCATCTACCCACTACGTACAGAATATCTTTCAGACTAAAGGTGGAGATGGATCTAAACCTGATTTTATAGATATAGAAAATAAAAATTAGAGGACAACAAAGAAAATGTAAAAGCAAAGGAATTTAACCCATATTTCCATATCACAATTAAACAGTCCAGACGAAAATATTTTTCTTTTCAACTTCTGGATGAACATCCTACTGAATATTTAAAACAGAAATAAAACTAGCCTATCTATATTTGATTCCAGAAAACTTTTCTGAGAACTTTCCATTTCTACTTCATTATTTTCATTTCTGGAATACCTGATATACAGGGGGGCAAAAAAAAAGTATGATTAAATGCCTTCTGTCGCATTATATATTTTCTCCAGTAACATAAGACAATATTGTAGAAGCACTGCTTTTGAATCACTCCAGAGCATTCAGCAGGAGTCAATTTATACTGCAAGTGAATAATGATGTACCTCAACTCATTTTAATTTCAATAATTGAATGAGAAATAGGAAAGTCTATTGAAAGGACTGTATTCTGGTCAAAGACTAATGAGAAAACAGTTTTGAGTCTTTGAGTCAGCGGGTGTCATGGTAACAATGCATTATCGAAATCTGATTAGCATGCCCAGCAGCTTTATAAATGATAACATGCTCTTCTAATTGTATTTCCCTTTCTTTCCCTACGATGAGTTTTATATTCATAACTGGTAAGAAGCAAGGCAGCATTCTGTTCAGCTAAAAGTTAGGCTTAGGATGTCCAGCATGCTCACAAACTTGGTGCAACTTGTCACCCCATAATGGAAAATTTTTTCCTACAATATTGATGTAAGAAGCTGAGACTTACTGTCTCTCCCCTTCCTATCTCAATTATATGGGATTTTGAAGTCACATATCACTCTTTCCTTTCAAATCTATGAAACTGTTTCTAAGGATATATACATGAAATAGAACATCGTGAAGCATGAGTGTCTAATGAAAAGAACTATTTTTCACAGGTGGAAAGGGTGCAAAAGTAAAGCAGAAGGGTTAAAATTTGCCCCAGGAAACATTACTACAGATTCCTGAGGTTTTGAAAAGTGGGATTTTAGAGTGTTTGGAGGACTGCACACACATTTAACTCACAACAGTATCAAAAATTGTGAGGAATTATGAAGTTAAATAGGATTCTTTTCTCCTTCTCATGAAGGAAAGAACTAATACAGATTAATAAACACAATGAAAATAGGAGGTTAGAAGCTTAGTAATATTCCTTTTATAACCAAACCAGAGGTAAGTACCCTAACAGACCTTCATTAACAGTAAAGGTTCTATCACAATTGCAGCCTCAAAACTGTGAAGCAAAATCATTTCAATATACAGACTCAGCCTTAAAAAAACCACAAAAACACATTTTCTTGCAGTATAAGAGCACTATTTTCATCAGGACGATCAAGAAATCTACTAAACTTCTGGCTTATTTCTAGGACCACTGTACCCTAAGTATTTGTTTCTCATTTTCCACATTCACGCTTGTCTACTAATTCAGCTCCAAATCTGTACAAAGAAAAAGGAGAAAAGCTCATGCTCTTATTCTCCAGGTAAGCTAGAACTCATCTAGTCACGTGACAAATAATACAAGAAAACAAGTTTTCTGTATTTTTAATAATGGAACAGTGTTTGTTACAGTGCATGAACACAAAGAATACGCGGTCAACTTGATCTAAAAGCTTATTACTCCTTGTTACGTGCACTGGCACGTGGACAAAGTTTAAGACGTACAAAATACTAAAAGCAATCAGTGTTAAGTCAACACAGCAAAAGCCAGAGGAACACTTATCTACATGTTTGGAAATTCAGCAGAGAGCGCAGGGTTACGCCGAGAATAGAAAGTCATCAAAGCAGGCCAGTGAGCAAAGAAAGAGCAAACAAGCACTCCCCAGAAGAGATTAGTACTTGTTCAGGGGACTGTTTGCACTAACCTTGGATGGAAGCAGCAGCCTGAAACCCAATCAGTGTGACCTTCACCCACCATGATGATGTCCCCATCAGGAAAAGCCCACATTTTCCATAGGCGGTCATCACTGCCAGTGACTACCATGTCTTTCAGGGGATGCGAGGCCAAGCTGCAAAACAAAAGAGAGGCAGGTCATATTCTGTATCAGTATCATTTCAGCAAATTCTAAACATGACTGTTTCTGGACGGACTAAAGAAGCAGCAGCGTGACGCTGTCTATCACAATCAGAATTTAAAATACTTGCTATGCAGATGAGTTTCTGCTTCTACTGATGAAAAGAGCAGAACATGACTGACATCTGTGAAACCAGAGTTGCTTCCACACCCTCTTGAAGTTCCAGTGCATTAAAGCACTTGAATGTATGTTTCTAAGCACCTTGATTGTTTTTAGAAAAACCCAGCAGGATAACACAAACAAACACAACCTGTGTGAATCGCTATTTCCCACTCAAAATAATTTCAGAAGTACTGGCTTGTCAGCCTGCTGAAGGGAATAAGGACAAAAGGACTGCTTTCTCCGCTGTCCCCATAGGTCTGAAGTCCTCCAGCACTGAGAAATAGCTCAAATTGCAGTCCAGTAGCTACTGGCTCTGCCATCACTTTAGCACCAATTCACTGGGATTAGGCTACGGTCAGAAAATCTATTTCAACTCTATACTCAAATCATGTAAACATGTTTTCCATTTTGTATTATACAGCACACCGGGACATAATGGAAATCACATACTTATCACGTCCCTATACTGCAAACTTGGTTTATTTTTGATTTGGCAAATGTAGCACAGCCCAAAATGGATCTAGAGAAGAAAATAAATCTGTTGGAAAGGTAACGAGTGCATATTTCATACAGATTTGGTTATTTGATTTAAATTACTGTTATGCTTTACCATTTGTTGAACATCAAAAAATGTCTAGGAGCTGAATGAAGTCCCAGTATTATTTAAACAGACTTAATCTGGAGTTCAGAATTAAAATGCAATGAGGGAGAAAGGAATCACAACCTGTGCATGCACCTATTTCAGTTGCGCACCAGAGCTGACAGTTTTCAGAGAGAAATGCTTATAAAACACAACCAGAATAGAGAGAGAAGATGCCAAGCGGCTAAATGGGAAGAAAAGAGAGGTCATAAAAGGCACACAATTACTCTATCATGAGAATACCTTTTTTAAAATAGGATCTTCCTCCTGCATTGTCATTATTTCATAAAATTCCTAAACCAGAACTGCAGCTTCTACTATATGGGGAAACATGATTCCCTCTGTCAAACCAATGCCAAAAACACACTCTTGTCATCTAGCACATCTGTTCCTGCAGTTTAAGGCACAATCTAGGAAGATTCCTACAGATTCAACACTTGGATTCATCTGTTAGAACAGGATATTTGGGTTTTACTCATTCTCTAATTTCTGAGAGAGAAAAAAAAAAGTGTTTTTTTGTCTTGACCTAAATAAGAGTAACTCCCTTTGCATTTGCAGGGAGAAAAGAGAAGGAGGGAATGATGTTATTTAAATTCTCCAGAGATGCACAGAGAACAACTGTATCATTTAGATTGGCCATAAGAGATATGTAGGAGGGCAAGGAGGGAAGAGAGATAAAAGAAGAGAAATTAAAATCTTGAGAAGGCATGCCAGTGGCTTGCAAACTACTAGGTGAAGACAACTCTCGCAGAATTTCCCTACTATAAGGGACCTCTGACACACAAAAATCCTGATACAACAATGCTTTCTGGAATACACACAGGCACATAGCACTACGAGGTGTGCTATGCAAAAAGAGGACCCCACTTTCCAGAAAAATTAGTGGGATATCTACAAAAGATGAATCCATCAGGACTTCATCCACTCTTTCCTCAGGTTCTGAAACGTCAAAACAGGCTGCATTAAATAGAATCTTTATTGGCATGCACACAGTAGTGCATATAAGCATCACATTGATTAGCTAAAGTTTTTCTCGTAATCTATTTCAGATAATTCAGATAGCAAAACTCTCTCTCCATCTCTCAGTCGCCAATTCTTCCCTTAAGATGTTTTGTGTTAGTTGAGTGTATGCTTATTAAGACTTCCTATCAGTTCTTTCTCTTACAATCTTCCCAAATAGTTGCTCTTGCAGATGCATTATACAACTTATATTAAATCACCATGTAATCTCTCACTGAAGATTCAAAGGAAAGTTGACACAAGTTGGATCCCTCCTTGCTTTCGGAACATACTTCACTCCTGGCTTGGCTGCAGCTGCCCATCAATACGAGCTGTGCTGCCAGGCACTCTGCCTCATCTCCTAGGAACATTTCTCCTTCCCTCAACCCTCCCAACACATTTCCTGTCCAGCTTTTGAGAAGTCAGAACTTATCCAGTGGTAAGAAATTTCTGGAGAGCTTAAAGACAATCCATCAAGTGTATTCTACATGGAAGAAAACTTCTGGTCATCACAACAAAACCCGCAAGAACATATTTCACGGATTTTTAATTGCAGTACTCTTATAAAAGTTGCTGTCCAACATTTTTTTCCTCCATGCCAATTTTGTAGGGACACAGTGCACGCTATTTAATTAACAGCAAGTATGTGGCATAACCACTGTCGCACTGCTTCTGAGAAAGGGAAGCCCATTCATCCAAAGAGAGTTCTATACGCAACGTTAATTAGGCATCCTTGTCTTCATTTCTGGCAATGCAGCACACTATAGATTTTTGCTTCATCTCTGTTCACAGGCTCTAATTATTTCCAGCACAGGTGACTTTGGGTAGATTGCAATGAAAATCAATAAAGGAACATGCGTGATAGAAACATCGGTTTTCTCCTCCTCTGGGGTGGAAGTGGGATCAGAAAAGACTTAGTCAAGAAAAAGAAACTCAAAGATTTGCTGCTGTTGAGTGCGTACGTTTACACAAGTCATTTTGGCATTATAAGCCATTCTCATTTCTTCAGCACTTGCTATGGAAGATATATAGTGCTCCCAGTAATTTGCTTTCAAAACAATCATCGATTATTCTAATTTATTTTGAGTAATACATAAAAATATGCTATCTTCAAGATGGAAAACACTTTCAGTCTCAATATGTACTGCATTTGATCACTCCATACGTACAAAATCAACCTGCTGGTTAAAAAGTGTTAAAGCTGTCTGTGTATCCTTAACTGTGTGTTTGTTTCAACACCAACACTGACTACAGTGCACCAGGGCAGGGAGATATCAGTTAGATGATAAGGAAAGCCTTCTGGCAATAAGATTTCTGCAGCACTGGAACCAATAGCTACCTGCCATCATTAGGCTAGTCTTAAAGTTCTCAGAACACCTTGCACCTATTACCCAGGCAGACCCGACTGGTTATGCCTGATGTACCTCCAAGTCCTACAGTAGCAATGCTCCTCCAGAGTCCCAGCTCATTCAATGAGCAAAGCAGTGCTCATACCTGAGGGGCAATCATCAACTTAATAAAAGCACCACCTCAACCCACTTTGCACAAATAACTGCAGCTTAACCCCAATTTCACAGATACAGGACACTGAGGTGTAAGAAAAAATCAACTATTTTTTCAAAAATAATTTCAGGGGCTAGAATAGGTCACCAAAAAAATTACTGGATATTCAGCAATTCTAATGTACAAGATCTCAGGAGACTGCAGGAGCAGCAGGAGTCCAGAACTCTAAAATTAACACAGAAAATTTCTGTCTGAGGAGCAACACCCTGGTGAAATTAACAATGGCTCAAAACCCAGCCTTGTAATGGAAACTTGGGGAAACACAGATCTCTCTACCTCTACCATTAAGCTCTCCAGGCATGCTGGAATGGAAAAGCAGAGCAGGCTTTGAAGGCAGGAATATCACAGGCACCGAATTCAAGAGGATGGCTTTTCATTAAGGCCTCAAAGCAAAACAAAGCGTGCTTCAATTTTAGGAACTGTTTTACTGAAATCAGGGATCCTCTTCACACGCATACACCTAATTACATCGCTGGAATAGGGCCTAAAAATCTAAAGAGGTTTTAAAAGCTAAAATTTTATTCCAGCCCCGATTTTGCTGGCACCTAGCTAGTGCTGAGACCCAAGAGAAGTAAACCAATCCGTTATGAACATAAGATGTGCAGGCTGCACCACGTAACAGCATTGCAGTTTTTTTACCTCCTGTGTTTGCAGGAAAATGGAGGCCGGAAATCCACGGCGCTTCAGTTAGCGGCCTACGGTGTGGGGAGGGTCCGTGCCATCACCCCTCTGCGGCCTTGCTCTCTAATGTTAGGGCCAATACACCACACAGGAGTTTTACATCATTAGAAGGGCTGATTATTATCTGATGATAGCTTGAAAAGCCATAAATGGCAGTCAGGACGGAGTCTTTTTTTTCTCCCATCACGAGCACTGTGGAGAGGGAGCAACCGAGTACTCAGTCAGCTCCTTTCTCAAACAACTTTCAGCACACTTTTTTTCCCTCTTTACCTCCATAACAGCAGCAAAGACGATAGGATATACCAAAATGGCTCTCATGCTCAATTTCCTGTCAAAATCTGGTCCCCAGTGTAAAGTTTATCCGAGCTGCAAACAGCAAAGTGCTGCCCTGAGCCAGGTGCTGCAAGCAGCTCTCCCTGCCACCCAGCCCATGCAGAGCTCCTGCCGAATGGGTTTTCCTGACAGGAATGGCAGTCTGTGCAAAGCCTGTGCTGCATCAGGGGAAGGTCTGCATCTTGTTGGTTTCTCAGCCTATCTCGGCCTCCTCCTGCCCTGCTGAGCAAGCAAGAAGCTGGACGCGGTTTGGCCCTCAGCCACGTCACCCAGCAGACACACCACAGAAGTCTCATTAGCCATTATGCCCATTACACTTTGCCCTCATTTGTTTTCTTTGAACCACATCTCGCTAGTACAGTTATTTCTACCACCTTTTCATCTTGGCTTGAGTTATCTGGTCTCACCTGCCAGTGTACTTGAGCAACAATTGGAACCCTGACATTTAATTCAAGGGCTTATTATGCAAGGGTAGCATAACTGAAAAGCTTTGTTTTTCTGTTTGAGGTCTTAAAATGTCTCTTTTTAACAAAATGGAACAGGGAAGAAAGCTTGCAAAAGAGAACTGAAAAGAAAAAAAAAAGGATGAAACACAAACTATAAAGAGAATTTAAGT